TGTTACCTAATCAGGGGTAAATATGTCATTACATACAAATAAATATTGTTTGGATATAGTCATTTTACTTTTGGTTTTGGTTACTACTGATTTGCAGTGATACGGGGAATTTGAACATTTGGGAATTGAAATGAGTAAAAAAAACTTGTTGCAACTCTCTTTTCTAACATCCTGCATTTGGTTTTTGTTTAGATATTTGATAAGTTAGTTTACTGTAATTTTTAACTTTTTGTGATTAAGGGCGTGTGCCATATAAAAGGTTGAGAAGTTGGATTATCTTCAACCCATAAACACCCTATTGTTGCACAAAATGGTGAACTTTAACTGATAGAAGTAATCAATTTTGAATCCATGACACTATTTTTAACAACAAAAAATAGTTTATGTAAAAAATTTATTTTCCAACTTGTACAGATTTAAAACACAACTCTTTTAGTGTTTATGTTGTTTTGGTAATTGATTTGGGTTATTATGATTTTAGATTTGATTGTGATTCTAAGGTTTGAAGTTTTTGAACATAAAGAAGAATGTGTTAGAAAACAAAAACAAAAGCAAAAAAATTACCCATGCATATATTATCCTCTTTAGTCCAAAAAACAAAACCAAAAAAAACCTATGGTTTTTTCTGAACTTGTTGTAGAACCAGTTGATATAGGCAGATTCTTGTGGAAAAATTCAAGTCCAGGCAGATTCTCGTTTTTGCACATTAATTAGATTAAAAAATCAAAATTGACCCAAAAGTCAAAATTACAATTCTTATTGCGTTCACTTTTTCTTATACAGTTATACTTATTTACTTATCACGAAACAAACTGAAACGACCCAAAAATACGACCCAAAAATTTCGTTTTTAATACCATCAAAACTATAATCAGAGTATCATATAAATAAACCATGCGTGATATGCCCCAAAATATAATAAAGTACTGTGCGGAAACTGTAACATACTATATCCAAAAACAACAACTAAATCAAATCCAGACTAAAGCTGAAACGGTGGTGTGTGCGATGCCATCACCCAGAGCTCTTCCCTTTGCTTGCGGAAGTACCTGAAACCAAAACTGAAACTGTAAGCACGAAGCTTAGTGAGCTCCCCCAACTTACCACATACCATACAACAACATATAAACACATATTGGGCCTTGCCCACTGCATCGGGCCGGGGCCCGGAAACTGCATCGGACCGAAGTCCGGAACTGACTGGGACCTTGTCCCCTGCATCGGACCGGAGTCCGGAACTAACTGACCGGAGTCCGGAACTGACTGCGTCGGACCGAAGTCCGGAACTGGCTGCATCGGACCGAAGTCCGGAACTGACTGCATCGGACCGAAGTCCGGAACTGACTGGGACCGTGTCCCCTGCATCGGACCGGAGCCCGGAACTGACTGAGCATAGCATAGCATATCATAACAAACATACTGCATACTGCATCGGGCCGCAACCTGGAACATAAAACACATAACACATAGCACATGAATTATGTCTGAACCACGAAGGCATCAAACATACTAACTACTACATCGGACCGAAGTCCGGAAACTACTATTAACTGGACGGGCCGGCATTGTGGCCTTAGACCCGCCCCTACGGGAAGGAAACTCACCTCGTAAGCTAGCGGATGAGTGTGTGGCTCGGAAAGCTAACGGCTGCTGCTCCTGAATCTCCTCGGCTACAAATCCATAAACACACTCAATCAATCACTAGCACTACACTCAGGGTAAAATGACTCTTTTACCCTTGGTCAAAGTTGACTTACTCAGGGCTGACTCGCCGAGTCGGGATACCCGACTCGCCGAGTCCTAGACTCTCCGCTCAACTCTTACATGCTGTTACTCGTCGAGTGTGGCATCGACTCGACGAGTACCCTCTGGATCCAAGAACTCAGATGATCTTCATCCGACTCGCCGAGTCAGATGAACAGACTCGACGAGTTGTTCTTGATCCTCAAGAAGATTGCCTTGGACTCGCCGAGTTGTATGAACAAACTCGCCGAGTCCCTCCATCACTGAGTCTACTCTTAACTCGCTGAGTCCACTCCCTAACTCACCTCGTCCACTCGACACTGAAGAAACTGAAGAACTCGGGACTCGCGACCTGACTCGTCGAGTCGTTCTTCCGACTCGCCGAGTCGCCGCCATGCAACATATTTTTACTCGATTTCTCTTGAATCCAACACATGCAAATGATAGATCTAGGTCCATTAAGCTGTTTTACCACGTAAAGTTTCCAACTTTACGTGCACAACCACATGAATGAGGGAAATAAGACTAAAATATGCACAATAAGGGTAGATCCATGGCTAATAAGCAATGTAACTCCAAAAAGACAGTGGATCTGGACTCTACAACACCCCAACACTCAGATCCAAAGGTATTTCGGCTTAATAACACATTCAAGCAAGCATAAAGCTTGGAACAAGCATCAAATAGCCCTTAAAAGAGCTCTAATGGAAGTTTAAGCATGAAACCAGAAGAGAACTCCGAAAATACCTCAATAAGT